TATATATATATATATATATATATATATATATATATGTATATATACATATATGTATATGTATGTTCATGGGACTGATCACAGACTTCTTTGGAGGGAAAGCTTGTATGCTGGCTGCTTTGTCTGGACAGCAGGTATCTCCAGATCCTTTCCCCTGTTGCTGCTGCTGCTGTCTCCCAATGGTGGCCATCAGCAGGTACACCAGAAACACTTGCATCCAATCTGGGATTTTGTTGTCCGCAGCATCTTGTTCTTTGTCACTCTGGTCCTATGGACAGATGAACAGTATGACTATGGTGATGTGAGTTATTTATTTAGACCTCGATCTGTACTTATTCTCCCAGCCAGCATGAGGTAGTCAAGCTGTAGTCTGTGGTGGTGTAATGTACTATATTTTATAGTATTTTTCTTCTATGCTCTGCTTAAACGCAGTTCATGTATCATCATATATATATTTTTTATGACAGTAGGTTTCTAGTCTAGATGTTTTTTTCAGTGCTTTACCTCTTTAGGACATTTGATATTTCCCCTCTTACTGAGTCTATATTAGAGTGTTTAATTAAAACATTGTGAAATCAGTATGAGTTAGCAAATGTTTGCATTGAAATCGTGATGCTAACTTATGTAAAGCAATGTGTAGTACGGTATAAACCACAGCTCTTCATTCATTATGGTTTTTGACTATTGAAGGGATTAGAAGGCTTGAGAGTTGAGATGGAAACTGACAAACAGCATATAGAGAAAAAATGTCCCTTCGCAACTATCTATCTATCCACCCATCCATCCACCCACCCATCCATCCATCCACCCATTCATCCATCCACCCACCCATCCATCCACCCATTCATCCATCCACCCACCCATCCATCCACCCATTCATCCATCCATCCATCCATCCATCCACCCATTCATCCATCCACCCATTCATCCATCCATCCACCCATCCATCCATCCATCCATCCATCCACCCATCCATCCACTCACCCATCCATCTACCCACCCATCCATCCACCCATCCATCCATCTATCCCATAAACAAGATCAATAGCCTCACTAATAGACTCGCTTTTCAGATTGTCTAACAGTGTACGTTCATTCCATTCAAACTGACAAACAATGAAATCATCTGTTTCGAGTGAGCTCACCATTTACTCTTGAGGAGGCCATGCTCTAAATAGCACTGGAATAAAAAAATGAAAGTCAAAGGATAAAATCGATGACAACCACCTTCTTGTTCCCTAGGTGGATTCAGTCAACCCCAACCTGTATGTGAACGGTATCATATCCGTGTCGACCTTCGTGTCCTTCTACAGCCACCTTCTCTTTTATAAAGCCACTAAGAGTGCTTTACATGGTTATGGGCTGAGAGCCAAGTTCATCTGCGTCATTGTGGTGTTGGTGCTGTGTGGCCTGCAGAGTGGCATCTTAGAGACCATGGGTGATCTGGAGGTTATCCCCTGCACACCACCCTTCTCTGTCCTGACCAGGTCCCAGTGTAAGTCACAACACATCTGTTTTGAATCATGTTCACTCAGCCCGCTCATTTGGCGTGCAACAGCATTGCATCCTTTTACTACTTGTAATCTGTACTGACTGCAATTTAAACGCATATACATGAATATAATATGCTCAGAGCAAGTGAGGTAGTGTAAAATGTGAGAAAGACTACTTATGATGGATGGATCAAACAAACAGGACTATCACCCAGGAGACAGGTGTTTTCCTGATGATTGGCAGTTTCAACCTTGTCTGTGTCGATGTGTCCTTGGCAAGACAGGAAATAGTTTAGTCCTGATGAGGTGGCACCGAGTAGTGTGGGAATGTGTGTTAGTAATGACATGTAGTGTAAAGCGCTTTGAGTAATCGGAAGACCAGAAACGCCCTATAAAGGTCCATCAGCCATTTGCCATATCAAATCAAAAGTATGTAACATATCATACACAAATACATATTAATTTAGATGCATGCATGCATTGGCGTGTTCACACGTTTATCAACAAATACAGTTGCTGCATTCATACATTTGGGACTGCACACCAACACGTGTCCACGCGAACCTCCAAAGAAACGGGCAGATGCCAAAATGTACGTCATGCGTACCTTCATGACTACGCAGACAATCAAAATGTAATTTGAGTTTAGTTCTTTTTAGATCTTTCCTTTACTCTGTGAAAGCTAAATCACTGACTGAAGTAGGAGCTGCAGCTTTGCAGAGTGGTACAACAAGGGAAATTACGAAATTTTCTAAAAGATTTCTTTACTCACCTCTAAAGAATGTCACCAAGGCTTATAGACTAATAATTTAATGACATCATTTAATTACAAATACAAATCCTTTAAGAAAAACTAAAATGGGTCTTTTGACAGAGAAGTTGAAAAGAAGGCAATGATGCGGCTGTTTCCTCTGTGATAACTGTATGTCATCATTGAAGACATTGGCTGTTGTGTTCTCTGTTCAACCACAGTGATCTACCACTACTGTGTGATTGTGGAGATGTTCTGCATCGGCCTCTATGCCCGCCACACTTTCCGTAAGGTGGAGCCGAGCGTGGTGGAGGATGTAGAGGGGCCCGTCAGAGTCTGGCAGGAGGAAAAAGGCTGTTCAAACAGATGACGATCAGATGACACATCACAGGCCCGGCCTGCTCGGCCGCTGCCTCGCCAGTGCCTCCAATCCCAGTAACAGCAGTGACAGCGAGGACAGCCTGTGCAGGATAGAGCATGCACCTCTGGATGGTTTCCCCTTCCCTCAGGCCAGAGGTCAACAGCCAGGCAGGCCAGAACCAGTGGAACCCAGGTTTGCAGAGGAACCGGGTGTAGATCTGACCCACATTACTGTCAGGGCTGATATTAACTATCAGGACTCTAAGGATGTCACTGTGGTTTGACCAACTATGGAGGACCTTTAATAAAAGACTGAGTAAGTTTACATTCAACCACTGAAGATGCTGGTACTGACGAGGGTCTGTGTGGGGCCCCAAGGACCTGGACTATGATAAATAGGTCAAAAAGTGACACACTTACCCAACATATAGGAAACTGTGCCAACTGTAAACTGCTGGCACAAGCTTTAGCAGAATGAGGATCAATGTAGAAGTCTTGGGAAATGTTGCTCTTTGTAATCCCTGGATGTGTTTTGTTATGTATTTTTAATATTTTTTGCTTTGCAGTTGTGTATACCTCACACACTAATCCTCATAATTTGTGGAAGATAAAAGGCATGATGAATACATGAGAAGAAACGGTGGCCCTTTAAAGTCCTGTGCCACAATATACAGATTACCTTGCTGCATGTACCTGCAGCATTGCTTCTCCTCGATCTACTGTTGCTTGGATATCATTTAAATGTGGCTTTTGGTGAAAGTGTCTGCCAAATGAATGATAGCTTTTCCCCCAGGCATCGACTGTTTGTACACTGGTTCTACATTTAAAGTCCAACTGAAATGAAATGACATCTTTGTTTGATGTACTAGTAACTACAGCATACATGTCTGATGTGTAAATCACATAAAACCATGACAATATTTTTCAGTTAAATGACACCCCATGGCATGACTCATCAGCTCTGTCTATGAATATTGAATCCAGCCAATCAAATCATCCATCATCTTTCTGCTTATCCTTTACAGCAGGGGTCTTCAACGTTTTTCAGGCCAAGGACCCCCAAACTGATAGAGAGATGGAGCAGGGACCCCCGACTATATATATTGTATAAAATTGTGTTTTATATTAAACTGGGCCTCGTGCCATGTATAAACATACGTCTTTATTGTGCATTCAATACTAAGCTATTCAAATAATACACAGGTTCATATATTAATGTCTTTATTTTAAACATGTGCAAGGGTGGCTGTGCCACTGTGAGGAATTTAAGTTTTAAAGCGCTCCTAATTATGGATATTATGTGATACAGTATATGTACTTGTAGGAGTCTGGTCATTTCATGCATTAAGTGTCTGTGAGAGGGGGTTGAGGAATGTGCTGAGAGCGGGGGTTGTGTGAAAGTGGCTGCGTGAGGTGTTAAGAGTGACAATAGGTCAAGGGCCAAGGAGGGGCTTATTGGACTTCAGCCAATCAATGAGCTGATCGATGAGCTGAGAGATGTAACTTTGGAGGTGACAAAGGCTCTTCGAATTGCAGGAGAGATTCAGACCTCCTGAGCATGGAGCAGACTACCGTCTGTCGTGTGGCCCGGACGGGGCCTCACTTTCATTTTATATGTTTGTTTTGTTATTAATAGTGTGATTCGGTTTGTAACCGTTTGTATCTGTTTTTATGCTTCTTGGATAATAAATCCATTTGATTTGACTTAAACCTGCTGGTGTGTTTTGGAGGCGATTGAGAGCACATGGCTGCAGGGAGGGGGGCGATTTCTCTCTGTGTCCAAAAGTTGTGGACCTAACACCACTGCCTTTTATAAACATACCTTGTCAGCTGATACCAATGCCAATATCAACATTGTCTGTCAATTGCATGATAATCATGCATACAAGCTATTCAAATTGACATTTGTATTTTAAACATAAATGTGGAAACGAAAACGAGTGATGGCCTATTAGTGCCACTGCCATGCATAAACATACCTATTGTCTTGCATACAATACTGAACTATTAAAATAATGGGCAGATTCATGTTTTGGAAGAAAAAAAAATGTAATTCATTTTTTTTTTTTTTTAAATTGTCTAATCAACCAAACATTTCGCGGACCCCCTGCAGCACCTCCGCGGACCCCCTTTTGAAGACCTCTGCTTTACAGGGTAGCTGGGGGTCTGGAGCTGATCCCAGCTGACATTACCATTTTTGTATTATTTTAGCATTACACTGTGGTCAGATAACTTTCAAATGTCCTGTTTTGATTTCAGAGGTAGTTTGCCAGGTCTAGTTTTGTTGTATTGCTTTCTATTTGTTTGGCACGACCACATGTGTCCCATCTTCTCCCACTTTGTTAGAGAACCTTTTGTTTAAAAATACCTGAGTTTGAATAAATATTGTTAAATTGTTACTTCCAATTTTGACTATTTCACATTCTTTGGTTGTCGTGTGTTTGTCCCTATTTATCCCCTAGACCGGGGGTGTCAAATTCAAGGCCCGCGGGCCGAATCCGGCCCACCACGTAATTTTATGTAGACCGCTGTGCTCGTTGAAAATAACATGGAGTCTGGTGTAATAGTCTGCTACAATTTCGCCAGGCTTTTGCTCGCATGATGTTATTTTTGTCATGTTGATTCTCGGCAGGAAAGCAATTGTCAAAGCTGTAACCAGTACGGTAATCATGTCTATATGCAGCGTTGTCAGCGTTATCCCAGTTGATTTGTACCTGTCTGGCATTTCCTTGACAGGCTGCTCGAACCTTGGCATAGTTGGCTGGGCCAAGTTTCTTCATGAGGAGGCGTCTGAGTTCTCCTTCAGTGGGGCTAAACTCACGGCAGAATACGATAAGTTCATCACCAAACTTTGTGCCTGATACTTGGGGGTCTGGCAGATGTGCCAGGGCGTCGGTCATGTCTCTGTCAGTCCAGGGTCTGTGGACCATCATTGCTCCATTTGGACCTGCCATTGGACCATCGGGAATGAGAGTTCAAGTCTTTCCTCGTCGTCGTCTGTTCTTGGTCCTCGTCCACTTCTGGTGTCACATGAGTGGTTGTAGGAACCTCTCACTGCATCTCCAGTTGTTCCCAGGTCCTCATGTGACTTGTCTGGGCTGCCTAGTTGACTTACTTGGCAAACAGTAAGTCCTTACTTGACAAACGGTAAATATACAAACAGTGGTTCCTAACCCTGGCTCCAGATCCTTGACCGGATTAAGGATCTGGAGCCAGGGTTAAGAACCACTGTTTGTATGTTAACTGTTTGCCAAGTAAGTTCCCAAACTTAAATCACTTACAAGTAATTAGTGGATGAAATGTTATTCAGATCCCTCACTGCAGTAAAAGTACTAATACCATACTGATGAAACAATCCACGATGAGTAAAAGTCAGCAAGATGTACTTAAAGTACCAAAAGTAGAAGTACCCTTGCAGTAAATAACACCCCACCCATCCCCAACCCTGAGGCTAATTTGTAATTCGTGATTTTGGGCTATACAAAAATAAAACAAAAAAAATATATATATTTAATTGAATGTGTGTTTTAATGATGTCATGCTTGTAAGTCATTCTAAGTTGTACTACGGTCATGTTTAATATTTTGATGTGTAAAAATACATTTTGATGTATAAATTCAGGGACAATCACTGATGAGTTCTCATTTGCACCCAACAGCCTGGAAATATACAGTAAGTTGGCTCAACTGATTTGGCATGTTGGCCCAAATATAGTGTCTATAGTCTGTAACATTTTGCTGGTTTAGTACAAGTCTAAAGTGGCTTGAGAACTTAAGGCTAGAAGGTTCATGTAATGTCACAGCACCTTTCAAACACAGCTGCAATTCAAGGTTTTATGGCAAGGAAATGCATTAGAAAGGTTAATATATCCAGCATCCAGCAGCAGAAGTGAGCAGAGGGCTGTAAAGACCCGCTGACGACATCAACTGTCTGAAGAGACCTGAAGCCCCGCCCATGCTGCTGCACAGAGCGCCAACGCTTATATAGTATTAACATTAATGTTATTTATTTATTCAGATGCATCGATACCAAAACATATTTCTGATATCAGTCCAAAACTGACTCAAATAGCTGAATCAGCTATCGGTGAGGACATGCAGATCCAATATTTAAATTAATAACAATTCAGTACATTTTTATCTTTGTATTTATTTGTCTAATTTTGTTTTTCAAAGTTAGGAAAGCAATGTTTAAGTCAAGCCTGATTCTGCCTAAGACATAAAATAATGATCATAGGAACTTCCACACAGTGAGGCATACAGTTAATTACATACCTGCAAACTTGTCACTTTTCGATGAAATTCACTGTTTTGAATCAAAAATACGTCATCCACGTGAATCGTGTAGATCCGTAGAGTTTTTTTTTTGGGGGGGGGGGGGGG